CCCGCTCGCCGGCGCCCGAACCGACCGTACCGCCGCATGACGCACCGCCGGCGCATCCACACACACTAGGCCCTACGTTATCCGCTGGGATGTCGAATCCCAGCCGATGCCATCAATCAACCCTTGAGGGCAGGGCGGTGGGCGTCAGCGCACGGCTGTGTCACGGCCACGGCGCTGCAACCGCGGGGGGCGCACAGCCTCCCCAGCGCACCGGCGGCGAGTGTGGAACGCGGGGCGCAGGAGCCGACAGGCCGAGCTGGGCCTGTGGACCTTAATGGGAGTCCGGACCGGGCCATTTGAAACGGAGGCGTTGCAACGCCGGTGTTGCCTTTGGGTTGGCATCTGCTCCCCCCTTCGCCTCGAGAGGGGTCGCGTGGGACCGGCGCACTCCGCGTCCTGCCCACAAGGCGCCTCGTTGGCAGGGGTGGCGACTTGGGCGACTCGCGGACCAAAGAGCGCCGGCGCCCGTGGACGGCGCACTGCGCCAGTTTGCCGCGAGGAGGCACGAGGGAAGGCCGTGCGTTGCCGTGGGGTGCAATTCGGCGCGCCGGCCATTCTCCGACCAAAAGGCGACAGCGGTCGCCTGGCTGCATGGCGCGCTGCTGCGCTCAACGCTCAGTCAGACGGACTTTGTAAGAACAGAGGGCAACCAACTTTCGACCTTCTTCAACGCGGATGGCCAAGAATCGCGCACTTGGGAGAAAGGGGTCGCCGACGGCGGCCCTGGGGGCAAAGAGGGAAAGAGCAAAGAGCGGCAAAGAGCGGTCAGCGAGCAAAACGCGAAGGGCAGGTGTGTCAGGGACGGCAACACACGATGCTAACCCACTGCCTTATCCCGTGCGCCACATACACCTCGACCCAAGGCTCGCGAGGGCGTTCAATTTTTCGATGAGCCCAAACGGACATTTGGCAAAATTAATAAGCATCACCAAAAAATTTGCCACCCCACCGCGTCCGAATTCAGGTGGTTTGGACCAACATGCCAGGCACAAGACATAAAGTTAAATTTGTGAACGACAGCCTGCAGCTCTCGCTTGCTCCTGCGAGGCCCACTGGTCCACGGCCCTTCTATTTCTCCCTCTTGCCGCTTGCTCATTCTCAATAGGCATCAGTTGCAGCCATCAGCTCGTGGAGGGCTGGGCAAATTCACACCATTCCCTTGGTTATTTCTCCATTGCAATCCGGCAGCTCTGCTTTGCGGATGAGTTTGACAGGGGCCACATTGCCGCCCAAACATCCCATTTTGCAAAAACACTTGTAACCTTTGGGAAAGCACTATGTCGATTTGGGTACACTTAGCGTCAATTTGCCGTTAAGCTCCGCCCCCTCCCCCCCCCCCCTACATTACACTTGACATTCCGCACATTCTCTACCTTCCGTACGGGGCCCATGAGTGCATGCTCTTCTTGCCTATGACTTGCTTGTGTTGTGTGCTCATCTTTGCTTCGGAGGCTCTGTATCACTTGCCTAGGAGGGGGTGCCCTTTGTATGACCTGTCTCTCTTTCTCTTTGTTAACAAATCTTACCCACCCACCCACCCACACACCACCACCCCTTAGCGTCAATCCTTATGTCGAAGCCAAGATGACTCGGTAACATTACCTTACAGTGGCATTCAACTTCTAAGTGTTTCTAAGGAGAAAAATAATGAAAGTTGTACTGATTTCAGTGGGCTGAAAAATGGAATTCTAAAAGCAACAAGCTTTCGTGCAAAATGTCGGTAAGAGGGTCACGGAAAACAACAAAACGTGCATTTTGCGCACAGGCGGAATGCAAGAAAAATACCACAACAACAAACCTACGCACAAACAGGCCATTTTTGGGTCACCCAACGGACAAGAAAACCACAATATTGCGCACAAAAAGGGTGTACCTTTGCGCGCGCCGCACGCGCAAACACAGGCGAACATCGCTGGGCCTAGTGCGTAAATGCACGGGGTCGGTGGGGGGGGGAAGCGGAACCTATGCTGTACATGTTTTTTTTGTAAAAGCTTTCTTAAGCTTGTGATATAAAGCATGAAAACTGGTGTTTTAAAGGCGTTCATACTCTTATTTTTTAGTGCACTCAGAAATGGCGATATTGCACACAAGTTTCCTTGTTTTCTGATGGACAATCTTGAGCACAACCATTTTGCCCAAAAAAACACATAATCGCGAACTTGCACACAAGTGCACCCTTTCGGACCTTACCGACATTTTGCACGAAAGCTAGTTAAGCCATTATAGGTGAGGCGGGCAGCCTACATGTATGCAAATTGATCCATTTTAAAGCCTTCCTTGAAGACCGAACATTTGCAACAGGTTTAGGAAAATGTCAGGGGCTGTTTGCCATCTATCAGCGGCGTTTTGGGGCACCTTCCTTCCTTATGTCGATTCTGTCTTAATTACATAATCGCTTACCATCACAGTTCGCGTGTCAGTTTGATGCTAAACATAACGAAATCGCCATAGCGTCTTCCTTTAGGAAATGCACTATATCGAAGTTGGCAAGCTTTAAGCTAAGTTAGCATCATCTCTGAGGTGTAGAAGGAATCGCGGAGATTGGGTATACTTCAAGAGGAAAAATGTCATTCAAGGGCACCCCTCCCTAAGCAAGCATATGAGAGACTCTCTTGCATGCTATCAAAAATGATGCAGAGTCTCCTAGTGTGGGATGATGAGCGCACACCATGAGCAACACGGCAGGGAAGAAAACATGCTCTCAAGGGGCCCGCATGTACAAGGCAGGAATGTTCGGAACGGCAAGTGGAGTGTAAGAGAGGGGTGGCGGAGGGGCATGAACTTCAGGGCTAGCTTTTTCATGGGCCGCCTAGGCGAGCTCTTTATGGTGGCCAGGTAGCCTGCTTACTCGAAGAGTGTCCAAAGAGTCCTATCCATGTTTTTGCTCCCAAGAGCGCGCTTCCCCAAACTTTAGAGATTGAGTTCGGTTTGCAGATTTAGTAACTACTTAGTATTGAGGTCTAACAACTTGGTCTGCATGGCAAACTTAAGGGCGATTTTTCTGTGGCGGTCATGGGCATCGTGGGGACAGAGTATTTGTAGGACTATTATAGTACTGATAAGAATGCTCCGAACAACATTGGTCAGTGTGCATATGAGGGATGCCGTCAAGCAAAAAAGTGATGCCAAACTCCGATGCAGCATCGCCAACTTGTCCGCAAAACGAATGGTGGTCGCAAGCCACCGCCGAATCCCCATCCCGCTCGCGTCCCTTCCTGAAGGGCCGTAGTCAGCCCCACAACCCCGAGCGCACGCCGACCTTCCGCCCAAGAACCCTCCCCCTCAGGGGTACAAGGCATCAACATGCCCACAAAAACACACAACCCTATCCCCAAACATATCAACACAACCAGTACCCCCCAACCCCCCGCTCCGTCCTTAGGCTCGCGCGCCCCGCGCCCCCCCCCCCCCCCCCCTTCCCTCTCAACACCCCCGGTCGCAGCCAAGCCTCCGAGGACGCCCACCGACAACCACCCTCCCGGCCCAGCGGTAACTCACTCCCCCCGCCCACCCACCCAACCCCACCCCGCTCAGCATCTTCTGCCCCGGGCCGACAATTCATACTTCCCCAGCGCCAGATCCCACCCCCCCGGTAGCGGCAGACAGCGCCTGCGGCCCACGGCCCCCTGACCGGAGCGTCCGCCACTCGCCGCGCATCCGTGACCGCGTTTCCGCTCCCCCCCTCCCCCCCTTGCCCCCTCCCTCACCAGCGTTCTGTCGCCTTGGAATTTTCGCAAGTGCCCTCAAGCGAGGGCGCAAGCGATCTGAAGATCTCCCGGCGGCGCGCTCTCCGGCCTCCCCTCCGGCTCACCTCCTTCACGTTGCCGTCCTGGGCGGCCATTCCGGTCGCTGGATCTCGTCGACCTCCCGTTCCACGGGCCGCGACCCGTGGCACTCTCGCCCCAGAAGGCATCGAACGCCCACGTCGCGAATCCCTTGGCCAAAATTCCGAATCTTTGGCCGAAGGCGCTTGGGAGGAAGGGTTTCCCGCCGTGGGCGCCTCGCTGCCTGGGGTCCGGCTGTCCGTCTCAGGAGCTGGGCTCCGGGGCGCTGTTCGTGGTGCCGCACTCACGGGGGCGGCGGTTCGCAGTACTGGCGCCTGAGCGGCCCACATCAGGAAACCTGAGATAAGAGGGCTTCGATGCGATGGGCACAGGGTCACACTCGACCAGCATGGGGCAGTTGGCGTCCGGGGAACCGGCTGGGAGTGTTGTGCGCTGAGTACTGCGCCGCGGGCGTGCAAGCGTCGATCCGACACTGTACCGCCGTCGAGACAGTACGGCTGGCGTACTATGTGTGACGCGCGGCGAGCCAACGTCCGACCAGGCGGGGTCTGTGGTTATTGGCATGCCGTATCTGGGGCACAATGCTGAGGGTGTGGATGTCCTCAGCCATATCTTCTTTCATATCCAGGAAATGGGGAAGGTGCAGAATTTTGTTCTGTTGCACAAACAGACAGCCGGCAGACCTGAGAATGCAGTCCTGACGCCCCTTTTACGTTTCGGGCGCTGTGGCCAGTGACGGCAATCAATGGATCAATCGATCATCGATCAATCGATAATGATCGATCAATCGATCATCACAGTTGCGCACTACTGCGTCCTGTGGTGAGGAAGCCGTCCTGTGGCGGGGTTGGATTGTTTGGAGGTAGTTTCAGAGAGCCAGTTTGAAAGGAATGGTAGCCTTGGGTTTCACGACTGCCCACGAGTTCTTGCAGCTGGCATCTGCAGATGATGGATTGCAATCGTTTGAATGCACTGGATTTCATGGATGTTTGAATTCTGATGGACAGCAATTCAGTGGCTGTCTCGACTGCAACAACGTCATGGCTTCCAACCCAACGCACCATGAACACTGTTTTCTGCGGGTGAATCAGGGAAGCAATGGCCTTATGCACAGGAAGCCAATCGCAGGACCGGGAGCCAATCTCCTTGAAACGCACTACATCCCGATGATGACATTCTGGATCGTGCGGATGCAGGTCGCCCAATCGATGAAAGATGAGGAAGGACGAACCGGAGGAGGGCGACCCCTGGGACCCCCTCGCGCTCCGATTCGCTGACTCGGACCGCGAGGCGGCCTTCCGGGCTCTGCGGGCCCGGAGGACCTCCACCGAGTCAGACGGCGCCTGGAGGGCGGGGCGCCTGACGTCTGTCGCCATCGCCTACGCCCTGGTCGTCGCCTCCGGAGGCGCGGGGGCTCCCTTCCGAAACATCGCGGCAGTCCACCTGACGATCGACCTCCTCCACGCTCTGGGCCACTGGCACAAGGTGGCTTGGCTCCATCGGCGCATTTTCGCCGTTCATTTTCCCAGTTTCGCCATCACAGTCTGTTTCCTGTGCGCCACTGGCGGCACATTCGCCCTGGCGCTGCAGACGCTGGATCCGCCGAGGGATGTGCCCGCCGCCTTCGCCGCGCGCCTCGCGGCGTGCGCCGCGATGGGCAGCCTGGCATGGCTGCCGCACGAACGGCTCTTCATTCGCACCCAAGCCGCCCTGAGCTCCGTGGCCGCAATCGTGGGCGTTGGCTGGTCGTCGGGAACGATCTGCATCGCTTGGTGCAGCGGCGGCGCCTTCGATCAGATCGCGAAGGGGGTATTTGCAAGAGTCGATGCCTGGGTGGCCTCGGCGGCCCTGTCGTGGCCCTTGTCGCTCGGAGGCGGCTTCGGGCCTCAAGGAGGGCAGCAGATTGGCAAAAGGCAGGACTGCTGGCTCGTGGCGGCCTTTCTGCACCTGGTGCTCTGCGCGATAGTGCCGCTGGCGGTGGTGTACCTTTTGGAGTTCAGGGAGAGGGTGGACTTCCTGCTGGCGTCGGATGACAGTCTGGGCGAGCGCCAGCGCAGGAAGTACGCGGGAATGAAGATTGGGCAGACCCTGCTGGTGGTGTGGGCATCTGCCATGCTGGCCGTCACGGCGTGGCAGGGCCTGCAAGTAGCGCTGGACGTGAGCAGCCTCTTCCAGGAGCAGGTGATCGGCCAGGCGTGCGCGGAGAAAATGGACTGAAGGCGAGTTTGGCCCGCCAGTGAGTTGTTACTTCCGGTCTCGCCCCGCTCCTCTCAAGCATGGTGTGCTTGTGGGCTGGCTCACGTAGCTTGGTGGGCGGTTGCTCTCGCTGGGATGTCCTTCGCGAATGGGCTCGAGAACTGCGCTGTGGTGTCTGGACTGGGGTTTGTTTCCGCGGCCGTTGTCGCTGTGGCCCGGTCGCTGCACGTTGGCATGCGAATCGGCGTCTTGCCTTCAAACGCGGGCTTGGTTGAGGTGGCACGGAACACCTGCTGCCCGGCGGTGCCCAGCACCCTGGGGCTTTCGAACCTGTTGAGTTTGCTGGGGAATTTTTAGGGGCTGCAGAATGGACGAGTGCGTGGGCTACCGATGGTTTTTCAAGGGCGGTGAGCGACTGCATGTCGTGAGCAACTTGCCACCGGGCATACCCGGATGTGTGTCCACTTTGGGATTCGTTCTACTGATTAATAAGAGCGCCAATTCGGCTGCAGTCCGCGGAATACGCGGATGTGAATGCGAATAGAATGAACTGGGCTGAAAATGCAGTTTTCATGAACCATCAAATGCATGTCCACTGTGGGTGCGCACCTCGAACGAAGAGGTTTGTTTCGGGCGATTGGACGATGATTGTCAATGAAATTCAACTTGTGGAACATTTGCTCTTGTATCGAAAGCTACGAGTTTGGGCAATTAGTATTCTAATTTTGATAGTTTGCTGAAGGAGAACCGGGTGCATGGGCTTCCGCGTATTCCTCTAGGATGGTCGATCATGGCAGTTGAGTCAGCTTGTCCCAATCTAGCCCATGATGACGCGGAGGCCCTGTTTGTTCAATAATATCGGAGAGTGTGTTGATTCATTGATTTGTAGAGCCTCTTAGTTGTGGCTCCGGGCGTGGTGTCCAGGCAGATTATGCTATCACTGCGGCTGCTCTCAAAGCTTGATTTGGACCTGATGTGTTGCTTGCTATGCCAATGGCAGAGCGAGATTCTGCAGACTTGTCTGCTTCTTACCAAAGTTGCGAAGGACATTTGCACAGGATAGGTGGGTTCTGTAGAAAATAATTGTTTGGAAGTTATTCAAGGCCTGCGATTGCATTGCAGCGTTGCAATAATGTCGCTTTTGTGTGATGCGCCTGTGTTGAAGTGCCATACAGTCTGACCGCTGTCGCTTCCTGTGCGTCCCGCTCATTCCCCGTGTGTTCCACACTCGTCGAAAGGGAACAACCTGTGACTGTGGATTGAAAGCAATACCGTAGATCATGCAGGATGGCGCCGTCCACCCAAACCCCACCCACTTACCCAGCACCCCGCGCGTTGAGCAGCGGGGCTGCTGTCGAGAATGGAGGCCAAACATAGCAAAGTTGGAATAACGCCACCATCATAATTTTGCTGCTAACTGCGCTGCATCGTTCCATCCCTTGATGGATCTCTTGAGGGTGTCACATCATGGGAGATGCATGCCCCCTGCGCCATCCAACATACCGCGCGCTCTGAAGCAGTGCCAAGTTCGATAACGCGGGGGGCGTCACGTCAGGTCGCCCGCGCTATTCAACACCCCCAGCGCTGTCTTCGAAGGACGCGAATTCGTGATCTACGGTACATTGTATGCTCCATTCTTGGCGGACCTAGCGATGAAACTGATGTTCAGTATTATGGGAGATAAAAACACAATGTGGAATCTGCGTTCGATTTCGAACGGGAGGAGCGAACCACCGGCACAAGAGATGCTGAGCCAGCCTCGCAAATGTATGGGCCAATAATTTTATCCTCGTGATCGCCCCCATATGCTCCTGTTGCATGCATGGAGTGCCTTATCTCTCGTCTCGACTCTGAATTATCAGGATCAGCGAGGCGCTGTCTGGGAAACGAGAACTGAGACCATGGATGACTCTTGAACTTGAGGTATGCCTGTGGCTGTCGTGTCCGCCCAACGCTCAGTTTGCCCAGCTCGTCGCGCGAATCGTGCGTTGATAATCAGGGGGGGAACGTGGTCAATCACATGTTTGGCAGCGGCTTCATTCGCGGAGACTCGTAGCCCACTCTTTGCATTCCCATATGTGTGCACGCACCCAAGCAGGCAAGGGATCGGGAAAGTTCCCGAATGAGCGAATTGCAACGCGCCGGCGGACTGAATTCCTACATGCGGTATTAGTTTACTACCAGCACCAGTATATTTTGTTCAAATCACAATATCCCGTTCCCCTTCGAGGCGTCCCCGCTTAACGCCAAGATGTGCATATGCGGTCATGAATATGTTCGCATTTGCATTTGAGCACACCCACCTGTTCACATGTACTTGTAAATGCAAATACTGCATTGCAACTGGTAGTTTATTGATCATTGCGGTACCGCAATTGCATGTACAAATACATGCTGATATTGACGTTCGAAATTAAATGTCACTGGGCGATATAAATATCACTTATGCACTAACAGTTGGCCTACTATAGTTGGTCAACTGGTGGCTGCCATGGTAGGCATGTTGCTGCGAAATCAACACACTTCTTCTGTCTTATAATAATTATCGTCTATTTGATACATAAATTCCATTATCTGAACTGTCTCTAAACTGCGGCAGGAGGCCAAATTCAGAAATTCTGGGTTCAAAACCCTGAGCTACCAATTTATGAGGTGGAAAAATAGATCCGAACTCTTTGAGAATTGAGCGAAAGGCAAACTTTTTCAGTACAAAGTTCTTGGATTACTAGGCAGGGAACCCTTGCTCTTAAAGTGATGCCAAATCCACAATGCTTCGCGGATTGCCTTGAGTTTTGGATTTTACTCTCCAAACTCGTGAGCATAACCTTGCACGAACGTTCACTAAAACCTAAAGTACTTATAATGAAAAAGCAAAAAGCCAAATCATAGAAGATAATATTGTGGGACGGAGGAAGTACAATTTGCATTCAGACCCTTCAACGCCATCATAAACAGGTGTTGGGATTTTCAGCTTAAGGATGCTAGATGAAGGAGTCCTTTGAAGAGATATTAAATGCAAGTTCTTCAGTTACATTTCTCGAATTTATCAAACCACTATCTTTATACCGCTGAGGGGATGTTGGAACATAGGCGCTTACCTATTTTGCATGATATTTTTACATTATCGGCGAACCAATTTTTCAAACTAGATTCGTTGCTGCAATCCATTGCGGTCAGTATGCCAAATATAACATGGCAAATTACATGGTCGATGTGTGCAGAATAACGCACAATATGATACAATGGATTGAACAATACATGATATGTTGAGAAAAATGGGTAGCAAACACAAAAGAACCATAGAAAAAGGAATAAAGAAAGAGGAAAACCACCATTGCGGTTGGCTGTGAGCTTGAGAGAAGGCACTTGGCCTCTTTTGAAGGAAATTCCTGCGGTGTAATCGGCACATGAAATTGTTAGGCATAAATTTGGCGCTCAAAGTCATCTTGCATATGCAAAAATTGCATTGCATATGATGCATTGTGATGCATACGATGCCATATGATGCACTCGATAGGTGTCGAGTGCAGGGTCCATGCCATAATACACGCATAACAATGGCATACATATGTGCATCCCTGGTATATGCGTATCATGGCATACCATGCGTTTCCCTCGTGGATGTTTCCTGTTCATACTACCCTTGTTTCAAAAGTCTTGTCCTTTATCCTATCTTACTATAACTTCAAAAGATCAACTCAATTAGCCAGATTTGGATTCCTTTTTCGATTTTGGGTTGATATGTATTCTTGGTTACATCGATACATATCCGACCTTATGAAAAGTGTCCCTATCCGCTTGTTTCAGGGCCTCAAGTCCCCGCATTTACCATATTTACCCGGTATTAGTAGGCGTGTATCGGACCTCCCAAATGAGCGGTGGATATTGACAGTGGGACATGTATACTAACGCGGTTTGGACCCTGATCCCAGAGCAGACAAAGATTTTTTTGACAAATAGGCCGTGAAAATGCCCAAAAATGGGTAAAAATGGCAATGCTATTGTGGAATGCTGTCAGCCTCATCACGGGAACTGGCGGCCTTAACTTGGGGCTGCACTAGGCAGGTGGTGGCAAGTGGTGGCGACTGGCGACTGGGGCCAACAGGGGTTCGCGCGAATGCTCGAGGCGTGTTTGCCTCTGCAATGCAAAGAACGAGGACTGACATGGGTCTCGACTCACTGGGGTGCCACGTCGCGTCGATAGGCTTGACACGTGGCGCTTTCCCAGGCTGATGGCGGCTAGGAAGGGTGATGGGTTCCGTGATTGGGTTTGTGGTGTGGCAGCAGTGCCATGTGCGTATTGGGGACGGGCCCTGCCTTCGCAGCATTTTGCGGGCAATTTTGCAAGGCGGGGACTCGCAACGGCAGCCGTCCCAACCAGCGCCGTCGCTTGCCCATTCCTGGCGCTGGGCCTTGGAGCGCCCTTGGCAGGCGCCAGGTCGGAAGCTGCTCTGGCCGGCCGCGGAGTAGTTTAACACAATCCAGAAACCAGGGTGGCTTTGGTTTCTCGACTGCTTCTTTGATCGTGCCCCACGGTGTCTGTCGCTGCCCTACGATCCTGCGCTGAGAGCGCCAACGGCGGCCAGTCGACCATGCGGACTTTTGCGGGCCCCCTTTCAAATTCTCCCTCGACAGCATCCACCCCGTCTCGATTGTCCCCGTCAGTGGGCGAATCATAGCGAACGCCATTTGGCCAAGACTGGGCAACACGGTCCAATGCCAGCCGCTGACTTCCCTTGCCACCATCCAAGGGATGGCATCCCTTCACTCGTTTTGTTCTGTTTTGGGGGTAGATACAAACACTGCGTCACGGATGCTAATGTGGTTTCGAGCCACAAAGAGGGGGGTGGACACTATTAGGGGGGGCCTACTAATACTTGGTAAATACGGTATGTGCTCACATTATCCCGTTCTGTTCCAAACAAGTCCTAAAAAAGTCTTCAATAACCATGTTGTTACCTAAAAAGAGCGTTACAACACTATTTCAAAAGTTTTGACATCAAAAATTTCGTTACCTTTGT